CTGACGTTGCCGTTTGGAGAGTTTGCAGTACACTACATGCTCATATTTGCCTGGCATCTGCTTTTCGACTTCAGACTTTAGCCTTCGGAGCAGATACGGCCTGAGGACTTCGTGAAGTCGCTTGACGATCTTTTGTGCTTCTGCGTCAAGCTGTTGACGGCCCTGGTCCAAGATTTGAGATGTAGGGTTCTTCAAGGCAAGTGTAAATTCCTCCAAACCAGCAATGCGGCCTTCTCCAGCAAAGCCAGCCGGCATAAGGAAGTACAGCAACGACCAGAGCTCATCGATATTATTCTGGAGAGGTGTTCCAGTCAACAGCAGTCTTCGTTCAGTCCGAAGATTGAGCATAGTCTGCCAACGTTGAGACTTGAAATTCTTGATATTATGGGCTTCATCGAGCACGAGGTAACGCCAAGGACGCATCTTGAAAGCCGCAGCATCTTGAAGTATGAGTTGGTACGAGGTGATGACAACATTGTACATGTCCTTGCCCATGTTGCGCCATCCCAATCGCTTCCGTTTCCGCTCGTTGATATCGCCGTAGTAAGTGAGGATCTTGAAACCAGGCAAAAATTTCCGGAACTCCATTTCCCAGTTGAGCATGACACTCGTAGGTACCACAACTAAGTGCGGTCCCCAGATCTCGTGGCGGACAGCGAGGTAAGCCAGAAGTGAGATCGTCTGTATAGTCTTGCCAAGACCCATTTCGTCTGCTAGGATACCGTTGGTATCGGACTCGTACAAATTCGCAAGCCAGTCCAGTCCGTCGTGCTGATATTCTCGGAGCGTGCCTCGTAACAGGAATGGGACTTCGGTCCTCGGCGGTGAAGACGCGTGACGAGACCGAGAAACGCTTTTAGACTGCACAACATCTTCCATTAGAGTAGCCTCGGGGGGTTCGACCGATGGTCGAGGCTCGGTGGCCTCAATGGAGGGAGCAGGCTCTGATGGTGCCGCGTCTCCGTTCACACACGGTTCGTCATTTATGGCAACTGTGCCATGTCCATTGACATGAGGTTTGTCCTCCTTGTCTTTCATGGACATGGCGGCATGGCCATTTACCTCCTCTACTGTTTGTTCCTCGCCCTCCAGCGTCTTGTCCTCGATTGCAGTTTTTGCAGCTTCTTTCAGCTTCTTTACATCCTTGGGTGCCAAGAAACCCATCAAGCCAATGTCCTCCTCTCCGCTGTCATCATCGTCTTCTGCCTCTGAGTCATCGGCGTCATCCTCGTCGTCTTCAGTCCCAGACCCTTCATTGCTTGACCAAGCTTCGCTACCAGATTCCGAGCTTTTATCGTCGTTTTCTGAATCCATTAGGGCGTCATCAACCTGGTCGAGTTCTACAGTAGCCGGGTCAATATAACCCGGCTTTTTCTCATGCTCATTGTCTTCTGGGTCATGGAATCCGTTCGCAAGTGTTTCCGGGTGCTCGTCAAGATCTTCAGTTTCGATGTCTGGGTCAGGGGTCGGTGCAGGCGTGCGCTCCTCCTCCTCCTCTTCTTCTTCTTCTTCTTCTTCTTCATCTCCAGAATCCTCCTCGTCCTCGGAACTAGTCACCGGTAAATCTGGAAGTTGGCCGTACTTTTCGCGTAGCTGTTCGGCGGTAAGATTCGCATCATCGTCATGCTCGTTTTCTGGTTCACTGTCCGAACTCGAAGACATAACATCGTCATCGAGCTGTTGTTCAGATGTATTTGAGACCGCACTCTCGAAATCTTCCATATCGTCGAAATCTCGATCTTCGCTCATCAGCGAGGACGCTCCATCACCAGCGGTGCGGCCCCCAAGAATTTCCTGTGCCTGGTTAAACATGTCGTCCATGGCCTTGTGTCCAAGCTGTAACTGTTCCTCCTCGTACTTGGCCACACGCTCCTTGTCAATTTCGACCTTGACCAGGCCCCACGCGTCTTTGACATCTTTGACCAACTGCTTGTATCTAACCACCTGCCGCTCCGTCTCTTCTTGTTCAATCTCATCCTGACTCTTCCGCTTGAACTTATTCTTCCAAAATTCGTAGGCTTCTCTAGCTAGTATCTTCGCCGTCCGGCGATGAAACGCCTTTTCTTCTTTGAGCAACTTGTTAAAGTGCAGAGCATGCGCAACTACATGGTCCCAATGACTGTACTGAGCTGACGGTTCTGGGGCAGGTTCAGGAGCAAAGACACTGCATCGTTCTTGACTCAGTACTCCATGCTCAGCCGCTTCAACAATCCGCAACCGGCGTTGTGCCTCGTCCTGGGCCTTTTCCTGTGTTATGCGCAGCGACTCCTCGCCTTCCAGCGGGTCGTCCTGTTGTAACCATCCTTCAAGTGAAGCGAACTGCGACTTGGGCGGGGCATGATGGGGATGACGGTTCGGGGGGTCGGGCTTTCGGAGTCGTAGTCGCAATCGCGGGGCCGGAATTGATGGATTGGAGCCATCGGGCGACGCGTATAGGCCGGCGTCAGGGTCGTGACCATTGGTGTCGGGAGTATCCATGAACTCATCACCTGGAGGGTCAGTCGGTATTTGCGTGCCCCTCCGCTGGCGAGTGCCCCGCTTGCGAACTCCGCCGCCAGGCGACCCGTTTTGTAATTGCGGCGACGCGACTGGTGTCTGTTTGGCGAGAGCAGAAGTCTTTGTATTCCGCTCAGACTTGCGGGCAGGCGTAGTCAAAGATTGCGTGGACGCCTTTCTAGCAAGGGCAGATGCCGCCTTCCCTCTCGGGGCCGACGTCGGGCCTGAGCCATTGCGCGACTCGCGCCTGGCCGCACTCTTGGGGGTGCCGTTGGTCTGCGCTGCTTTGGTCGCCGGGCGGGAGATGGGCTTTGTGGGCTCGGGCGTGGGCGGCGCAGTCTCTCTGTTCACACGCGATGACTTCCTGACGCCATTTTCGAAAACAGTCGTAGGGCCGTCTGCTACAAACGACTTCCACGGGGGTGAGGCAGCGCGTGACGTCGAGCGACGTGGCGTGGTGGTCGTGTCTTCTAATTTTCGCCGTTTTGCAGGCCGCCCAATGACGCCACCATCATGGCCATTTACAGAGGCAAGCTGCTCTCCGTCATTGGCGGTCAGGGGCGCATTGTCGTCGTCGTCGTCGTTGCCGTGTCCATGGAGCGCGATGGCGGATGGGCTGGGTGCGTCGGTCGAGTCGCGTGGTGGGATGGAGTCGTAGTCGCGATCCGCGGCAGTAACTTCTTCCATTCAGGAAGGGCGATGGATGCGGCCTGGGAAGCCTGTAGACCACCCGGCGCGCGGCCAAATCGACATATATCAGCTCGAAACAGATACTACAGAGTAGCTGGATGGGTGCTGAGAGCAGTGCTGGGTCCAGATTTTAGATTCGGCTTCGTGCTGGGATGATGCAATGTGATGTCGAAGTTGAGAGATGGTGAAAACAGAGCCCGGCGATAATGTTTGGCGGCAATCACGCTAACGACCGGCACGGGCGCGCATGGCCATGCCGGGGACGCGCAGCCTGCAAGACCACATGTGAAGGTTTGCGGTACATGGGCGAGGAGCTTGATTGGAAGCCGTATAGGGAATCTTTGGGGATTTCTTTTCTTTTCTTCCTTGGTGTTACCTGCTTGATAGCGCTGTGGTGGGACATGGACAAAGAACATATGTGGTGCTGGTGGTGGGAGTCTTGGGCCCAGCCTGAGCAGTAGAGGACCCACTCTTCTCCCGCCAAGCCCAGTTGGGGCCGCAACTGAGCTCATCGCGAACGACACACCAAGACAGCAACCTGACGAATCCGCCCTGTCCCCCGCATTTGCGCCGCTCATGTACGCTCACAATCCCGTCAATTCCCTCGAAAGCACACTGACTCATCCCGTAGTATGTTCTCCAGGCGTATTGTCGCGGCCCGTCCGCTGGCCCGATCCATTGTCCCCATAGCAGCACGCCCATGCCCACAATTCACCCAGATCCGCACTGCCCTAACCGACGCCGAGAAGGCCAATCTCGAGCTCTCCGACCCCAATCAAGTACGCCTTTCTTGTTGCAGGACCTAACGAGAGGAAGATAGGGAGGCTTCCAGAATGCTGATCTGATATGTGATAGAATGGCGGTTACATCAACCCACCAGCCGAGAAGCGAGGAAACCGTGATCCCTACGGCGACTACTGGGACAAGCAGGAGCGCCGCAACTATGGTGAGCCCTGCCACGAGGACAATGACATCCTCGGTGCGCTAGCCCTGCACGACTACAACCACTTCAGTCCCCAGTGGGGTTTTGTTCTCATGGGCACCTTCATCGCAACCGTCTTCGGCCTCTGCGCCGCTGTCAAGTCCGTCTACCCAGACAAGATCAGTGCGCCCAAGACATACCCAGATGGTCTAGAAGTCGAGCTTGGAGGCAAGGGTGCTGTGCCTGTATGTCTTGTCTTGCTCGGATTATTCCTTTCAGATAGATCAAAGTGCTAACATTGTCACCAGGCGAGGAAGCCCGGTCAGGGCTGGTAGGTTACGAGAATGCGAAAATAAATTCGTGTATAAAATACAACTCGCAATGGAATTCTCCTTGTCATTTTGATACCTCGGACATAAACTACATATATGATCTCTGACTCTTATACTTGATCCGTATCTTGTCGCATCGCAGGATTACGCAAACATGACTTGAACCACTACAGACACACTCATGTACTAGACGTGATGCATATTCATCTATCTACCTACTTACTCACCTATCTAGCCTCCCTAAGCAGACCCTAAGCGACTCCAAAACAAAACCCGGAAAATTAAAGATACCATCATAATGTATCGTACTCGACCCCATTCCCTAAGCATAGAAACGAAGGTGGAACAAGAAAAGTAAACGCCAGGCTAAAAAAAACCCATCATCACCATCCCCGTCCCTTTCGCCGACCAAGAGCCTGAAACCAGTCATCGAATAAAAAATGGATAATGATGCAGAGAGGTATCAGAAGGGGGTGAAGAAGAAAGCAGCAAAAACGCCCACGTGCTAAAGCACCTTACGCATGCGTGACGAAAGAAGAAAACCATTGTCCATCCCCACTTTACCGACGCCCAGCACCCATGCCGCCCGCCATCCTGCCGCCACCTGCATTCAGGCTCTGTCGTACAATTGCCTCTGCCGCCTGGGCAGCTGCAAGCCGCTCCTATACATTAACGGGTTAGAAAAAGAAGGACGATGATAAACTTAATGCCAAGAACAGACATACCTTTTGTCTACTCCGGTCTTTCAAGTACCGCTCAGCCTCTGGTCTCATTCTCAGAATCCTCAAAATCATATCATCGTTTGGCTCAGCTTGCGCTTCTTTTCTCTTCTCCTCTTTGGCCTTCTTCATCGTGCCCAAGTTGCGCGACAGCATAATCGTCTTGTGCCGACGAGACGGCACGCCCGCAAATCCCGCAGCGCCGCCAAACTGGTGACCCATGGAGGCTGGAGCAGACATGCGGTTCATGCGCTGCGCTTGCTCTTGTTGTCTCTTTGCACTCGCTGCAGCCATGGATTCAGACGTCCGGATAAGGTCTTCCGTTGCCTCAAAGTAGAAGAAGTTTAGGTTCTGCAGCTCGTGGTACTTGGGCGACTTGAGCACATCCATTGGTACTCCCTCAACGTTGCCATCCTCATCCACAGCATGGAAAAAGTCAAATAACATCTTGAGCCACTTGAACACAATGTCAAGCTCTTGTTGGGTTAGCGGTCGCTGCTGTGAGAGCTTGTCAGATAGTGGGGGCACCAGCAGCGACTCTATTGTTGCCAGTGTCTCTTTCCATAATCTCGTCATGACCATAATCATGGCTGCATCCGTCAATGTCTGCTTCATAATGGCAAAATTCTCGTCAAAGTAGACAAAGAGAGGGCCAAGAGCCTGCGTAACGTCTTGCTGAGTAGGTCCTTGAACAACTGACATGGGTCGCGCAGATCTGAAATTTCCTAGGTAATTTGTTACCTTGGAGGCCACGCCCTTGTTCAGGAGAGCATCGAGTGACCGGCGCGAAAGCTTGTAGCCAATGAATGATGAGAGCTGGCGTTGTTAGCATGGGCGGAATGACACGGTGCGCATATCCTACCTTGTCTGTAATCTTTCGTGTCATGTCCCGCTCAGTCCTCTTAAGTGTTCTGAACGCCTTGCCAAAGTAGAATTGTATGTCGTCTCGCTCGCCCTCCATACTCACACGCAGCAGCAAGCGGCCTTGTGTGTCCAAATCAAGCCAGTACTCGCGGGGCATATAGTCTCGGAAGTGTGATGGATCGAGCTTGAGTGATGTTCTGCCAACGCAATCGTGATCGCCCATAGCATCCCAATCCCATATTGTCGCAACAACATTGAGTGGACCGTTGGTGGTGATGTCAATGGTCTCTTCCCAGCGAGGGTTCAAGTTGCGGTAGATGACTCGTGTCTTAGCCAGGCGCTTCTGGTACTCGTCACCAAGCACTACATACGGGTCGCTAAGCCCGTTGATGTCGCATGCCTTCAGATCCTCAGCCTCGATGATCTTGATGGTGAAGACAAAATTATTGTTGCGAAGGCGTTGCGGCTGGGGTGGGGCATTCTTCTGGAGGACCTCAGCGCAAGCATCGACGCCAATCTCGCGCTCGAGCTTATCTAACTGCTGCATTGCATATTCGATGTTGTTGAGTTTGACAAGAGACTAGTTCTGTCAGCGTGATTCTGCCTAACGGTATTGGTGTCTTACCTCGGGGTAGAATTGGAAAGGTTCAATCTTGTCCTTTTGGCTGTAAAAGTCCTTGACGGTAGAAAGCCATTTCTCTTGTCTGGTCTGATTGGCAGCAGCTTCCTGTTCAGGCGTCAAACGGTCCATTTCCCGAGCAAACTTCTGCTCCACGAGCTCGCAGTATCTCGCAAGGGCAGTACCGATCGATTTGGAGAGAGCTGTCATGAACTTGGCATAATGTACGTCATTATCCCAATTCAGAGCTACGATTTGCTCAATGCTCTGATTGAAGGATCGGGAAACATCAACAACCGAAACGCTATGCCTCTCGTCATCCATGGGTATAGGATTCTGCGATTCAATCTGGAAAGAATCTGCTTTGAACGCATTGTCCACCCAGCCAGTCAGGTTCTCATCCGTCATCTGTATCCATCTCCATACAAAATCCTGCAGCTGGTCTTCGATACTGAAAGCAAAATTCTTGCCCGGTAACGCGTCGCTGTGGATGCGGCGAATCTCAACGAGTTCCTTGTACAAATCAAACCCATCCTGAATCGGGACATCTTCTCCTTTGTTATGGGCAACGTCCATGATCCGAGCAACCAGGTCTCGTGCATCAGCAGCATATGCAGGAAACATCTTCTCCACAAGACACATCATGGGACTGGCACCCATGACTTCTGGATTCTTGCGGTAACGCTTCTGTATCCGCTCGCACAATTTGACAACGGCACGACCAAGCTCAATGACATGATAGAACTCCCACTCTTCCTTTGTGTCCGGTATGTGCTTTGCGAGAAGCTCGCGATACACATCACCAGCTTTTTCTCGCAGGCCTTGGCGTAACTGCTCAGTGAATTTGTCCATTTCTTCTTCTGTACCTGGAAATGTGGGGTCGTCATAGATGTGATTTTCCAGGACATACATGACTGGACCGAGGGGAGGTGGCTTGGACTCGTACACGTGCATCATGAGCTCATACAGCTCACGCAATAGGCAGTCGTGCAACGCAGACAAGATCTGCTGGTTAAGTGCATAGTCATGAATTGTCCACTTCGTCCGGTCAAAGAGGGATGATTGGACTGGAACAAAGCTCATACGGCTAGCCCTTTTGTCTACTGGGGGTGGTTCCTTGACGTAGTTGAAGGCTGCATCGAGTGTGTCCAGGTCAACCTCCTGATTGGTGTATCGTTCGCATACAACGTCCATGAACAAGACGAGGCGCGAAAACTGGGGTATCCTCCACCGAAGGGCTATTTCATTCAGGAGCTCAGCGGATTGTTTTGACAGCAGCTTCACGGATGGACTTTCGGCAGTTGCTTCGGTTGCTTCGAGCTCGGAATCGGCCAAGTCATGTTTCAGCGCTTCATTCAGTATCGCACGGTAAGTGGCACGTGGGTCGGAAGGTATGAAAGTATACGACGAGTCGTGGTCAGAATCGTCGTTGATGTGGAGCCCGCTCATGTCTACAGGCTGGTCAATTACATACGAAGAGCCACTTTCAGAAGACATGGACCCTTGTCTGGAGGCGTCTGCATAGCCTGCATCCATTGGTGCTCTTGGCTTGAACTGGGGTACAGCTCCACCAGGTGAGCTCTTTGCTAGTTCCGGGTTAGACTGGATGATTGCTAGAATCATCTGCGAGAGGTCTGGCACTTCTTGGTTCTTCCATGCCTCGTATGCCTCTTCAGTGTCAAAGTCTTCGGCGTTGAGCGTCTTCTTTGTCATGAGGCTGAGATGGGCCTGGTATGTCTTTAGATCTTGGAGTGCCGCCTTTTCGGTCCACACAGACTTGTATCTGTTGATGTCATTCTGCACGTCCGAGTAGCTGATGGAGAAGATGCGCGAGACCACCAGAACAAGCGGCATGTCCTTGACCTCGTAGCTTCGGGGAATCTCTACCTCAATTGTTGTGCCTCCTTGACCGCCGTTGCGCTGGTTCTCAGCAGCGAGATCCTGGTCGTGCACCAGCAGCTTCTTCTCCATGGTCATGAGCCTCTGGGCAAGCTCGGGGCGGTCCCTTTGCCAGTCGTGGTCCCTGAGGATGGAGCTGACGAGGCGAAGGAAGAGGGCGACATGGCGGTCGACCATGAGCTTCCAGTTGTCGTCGGTCGGTGCCTTTCCCTTCTGCAGCTCCTTTGTGGCATTCGAGTAGAAGATGAGCAGCAAGTCCTCGACCCGCCTGTCCTTGTCCATGTTCTTTCGAAACGAGGGGTCCTTGAAGGCATTGAGAAAGACGGCAAAGGTTCGCTTGACGGTGGCGTCCTGGAACTCCGGCATGCGCTCTTGGCCCATGAGCACCTTGGTGATGCGCTTATCGAGGGCGGCCATGAAGTCGCGGGGGAAGCGGGTGCTCTTGGAGTCCCTGATGAGGGAGAAGTCCTTCATGAGGTCGTTGATGGACGTCGACGAACGCTGGACCTGCTTGGGGGTCGAGGGGACATGCTGCACTCGCTTCTGGCGGGGCTGCAGCAGGTATGCGAGGAACGCGACGCGCAGGGCATAGAGGTAGGCATCTTGGGCGGTGACGGGGCGCTTTCCACGCAGCGTGGCCGAGCTGTTGCTGCGCAGGCGTTCGCGGGTCTGCAGGCTGTTTATGCGACGGTTGCTCCCGCGGACGCTGTCCATGGCTGTGCGAGGGTGCGAGGGATCAATGGGGTGGGCAAGGGCGTGTGGCCGCGGTTGGGCGCATGTCAGGGCCGCAGTCGGGGTGGTCGGGGGGTGGTGGTGGTGGTAGTGATGGTGTTGTACGTATGTCTGCGTGTTACGGGGCGGCCGCTGCTGCCCAGTGGAACGAGACACCTTCTCCAGCAGTAGTGGGGGGGGCAGAGCGACCCAACCCGACCCTTCTCTTGTGCTGTCGCCGCGTGCAACCACACTATGATGTCTTGTTGCGCCTAGGCTAGCGTCCTTTGTTTTTCTTTTTTGGATTTTTTTCGTCGCTATTGACACAGGCGTGAGACGATCGGCCGTGTGTCTCTGGGCGTCGCGTCGTGGGCAATGGGGTCGCTGGTGGTGGCGCGGCGGCAGCTCCACCGCAGTGCGTCACACGCAGCTCCAAGGGCAGGGGGGTCTACGAGCCTCACAGTCGCCGTTGGACGCTCAAGTCGGCCTTGAAACCAAGCGCAAATTAGCCGCGAGTTTAATAGCTGCTTGGGTGACATGCTGGCCAGAGATGAGATGAGAGCGTTTGGCCAGAACCAGTGCCGTTTGCTGTTCTGCATGCCGCCAGCCCTTCACCGCCGTCTTCTCAGGGCACCTGCACCTCTTCACCACGCCCACATCCATGAACAGCCACTCTACCTGGACACCCGGACAGGCTCGCGGGAGAATCCAGACACCTTCCGCCTCGATACCCCCCCAAGAGGCCATCTCCATCTTACCCGCTTTCCGCCGACGTAGCACCACGAGCAAATTCGCTTTATTTCGCCGGCTCACGCTGCCGGTCGTCGTACTCAGTCCCAGTGTAGCCGAGATGGCATGAAGCTCGGACGTGCTGGCGTCTTCACATGAATGTCACCCGTCGCGCTTCGTGCCTTTCGCAACATCACCAACGGCCGCGAGGCTCATAGTGTAGCCTCGCGTGGACCCTTGTGGATCCTGCCCATTACCTCTTGCTCTCTTGCCTTTTGCCTTTTGCCTTTTGCAGTCCCAAAAGAGCATGTCGCTCACGCCTCCCGCTTACTTCCCTCCATAGCTCACGCAGTCATTGCGCTCAACGCTTCGACATCCAACAAAACAATAGCACCTCGTATTCACACATTGCACGCGCCACGAAAACAGCACAACCCCTCCAACTGGCCCGGATAGTCTCGCCCGTCCGGAAACGCTGTCCGTACCGGCAACCTCTTTTGTCCATCACACGATATAACCCCACGTGTCGCCATGCCAGCATCTCAAAGTCCAACCAATGCCGCTGACCGGCCGCGCCTGACGGAAGCCCAAAAGAAGGAGAACCACATCCGCTCAGAGCAGAAGCGACGCGAAGCAATCAGAGAAGGCTTCGACCGCCTTGCCTCCATAGTACCAGGCCTAGAGGGACAGGGACGAAGCGAGGCTGTTGTGCTAGGTGGCGCAATCAAGCTCATGCGCGAGAAGATTATGGAGCGGCAGCAAATCATAAACGATGCAAAAGCAAAGGGAATCGATACAACGGGCTGGGAGCTAGACAAGGACACGATGGAAGCGTGCGCAAGGCAATTCGAGAGGACCATGGCCGAGGATCGCCAGGCAGGGAATGGGGATGAGAATGGACTCGACATAAAAAAGGAGTAGGCGCTTTCATGTTCAAGCCAGAGCAAAACACAATGAGCGTTTGGTGCTACAACCAAGCTGCGGGGAAAAAAGCGTATGCTACCACCGCATTGCACACATGTACGAAGTCATGAGACTATGATCTCTTTTTGCGGGCACAGGAGCGATTAATATGAAGAAAGCAAGACACTTGCGCACCCAAACATCTGCCGACTACCTTCATACACATGTGTATTTCACCGCAACTGAATCACGAAAGGCACCATTGGGCGAGTTACGACTATGCATTCAATTCAACATTCACCCGTGCACGAGCCATTGTCTTATCGATAAGCCCAAAATTATCTTTCACATGCTTTCTGCGCCCCGCCAACCCACCTACTGGGTCCAACGCATCTGGCACTTTCCGAACACTAAGCTCAATTCGACTATCAAAGTATCCGCGCATCCATCAACAATGGCGTTTAGTTTTGGCTTTTCAGGCGATGACATAGAAGAGGATCTGAATGATGTGCAGGAGCAGCAGAGTGGGCAGCAGACAGGTGCGGTGGAAAGTAATGTACCGCCGCCCATTGCCGCTCGAACTCACGATTTGGATGAGATGGTAGGTTAGCAATAATCCCATTCCTCTACTTGAACTACGTATGAACAGCCAGCAAAACCGTTCTCTTCCATCTCTTTGTTTTATTTTTTTATTATTATTATTTTCGTCAATCACTTTCCAAATCATACATAGAACTTGACTTACTAAATCCACCTTCTCCAGCTCTCCACCCTCCCCGACAAAATCTCCTTCTCAACAGTCTCCTTCACCTCCCCCAAAGGCACCACCGCACACCTCCCCCGCCGCGAACTCTTCGACGTGCGTCTGCAACTCATGGCCGAAGACGACGGCACAACCGCGTCGCCACTCTCCGGCCTCGAATCCAGCGACCTGCAGCAAAACATCTACGAAGGCGGCTACAAGACGTGGGAATGCAGTCTAGACCTTGTGCGCTTCCTGCTAGACCGAGGCCCACGGAAAGATCTCGATGACCTGGTGCGTGTGGGCCACGTGATTGAAATGGGATGTGGAAGTGCGCTTCCCTCGCTACTGCTGTTCCAGTACGCAATACGAGAGGGGCTCGGAATTTATTTTACGTTAACAGACTACAATGCCGATGTACTGCGCTGCGTTACGCTGCCGAATCTACTGTTGGCATGGGCAGCGACGTTGAGTCGAGAAGAGAGTGCGCGGTTGTTTGCGGAAGACACGCCAAACCCGCTGCTACGAGATGAAGCGTCGTCTGCGCATCAGCCTACTGGTGCTGAAGAGGAACACGCGGATTTGTACATCACACCGGAGCTGCTTGAGGCGTTCAAGGCTTGTCTGCAGAAGATCGGTATTACACTGACGTTTCTCTCGGGGTCATGGGCTCCGACGTCCGCTTTACTGCCGCTCATTCCTTCATCGCCTGATCTCAACACTTTTATCCTCGGCTCAGAGACTATATACAGTCCTGCGTCGCTGACGGCGTTTGCTGATGCCATTATGGCGCTCATGGGCCGCGTCAAGATGGGCAAGACACTCGTGGCGGCCAAGCGGGTGTACTTTGGCGTCGGAGGTAGTGTCGATGGCTTCAGGGAAGAGTGTAGTCAGCGGGGCTGTGTAGCAAGTGAACTCGAGTTTGAGGGGCTGGGAGAGGGTGGTGTGAGGAGATGTTTGGTCGAGGTGCAGATGTATTAGCGTGAGAGACATTTCTTGCAGTTGCATGTATGAGGAGCCAAAAGTAAGGGGTATCTAGGAATTGCTGCCATATGGGACAAAAAGAAATCTAGTAGGATACTGAGGGAGCCCGTTAACGCTTGCAACATGGAGTAGCCAAGCAACAACACACTCTCGCCAAAAAGAAAAAGATCGTTACAACACGCAATCCCATTACCTCGCTCTGACTATAACAGTCGGCCCAGGCAATTCCCTCCTTCCATCCGCATCCTCACCGCCCCGCATAAGTCTCCTATACGTGTCACCCTCAGCTCTTAGCTGCTCTCCTCGACTGACCTGCAACCTCTCAACCCCTTTACCAATAGTATCAATATGCACCTGCACAGGAATCCCACTCTTGTAACCCAACATCTCAGGCGCCGCAACGCCTTCACGCAGATTTTCCAGTCCAGCTTGAATTTCCTGGAGCTTGAGCAGTGTTTCGGAAACGTGCACGACAGCTTTTTGGCGGTAGGCGCTGATGTTTGAGAGGAGGGTGAGCGATCGTTTGTTTGCTTTGACGTTGCCACGGTTGCCACCGAGTCTTGTCCAGAGCGAGGACAGGAGTTCTTCCTGGGAGCGGGTAATAGACTGGTCGTCAGTGGTGGCAATGTCGAAAATGGTAGTCAGACGCTCCTCAAGATTGTTGAGGACGAGGAGAAGCGCTTGAGCGGTTTCAATCAGCCGTGTGATTTCGTCCTTGTTCTTGCTCACGTGCAGCACGTATTGGTCGAAGATGCGTTCTTGGAGCGAAGGCGGCGGCGCAACAAATGCGCCCGTCATTTGGCGGATTATCTTTCCGACAGTGCCAATAGAGGCGTCTTGTTCTGAGATGCCCGAGAGCACGTTCATAGTCCAGGTATTGGTCGCGATGACCCGGTCCATCGCAGCACCTATCCGGCTGTTGTAGCGTGATAAATCGACAGAGGCCTCGTTTGCCGTTTGGATAAAGTATTCGAATTCGTTTTCTAGCGCTTTTCGACTAGGTAGACGCGAATGTTTGACTAGGATGCGCAGGTCCCGGATGGCGAGCTCGGAGTTCTTGATTGTCGCAGGCAGCGCCGACGTGTCTTTTGATGCATCAAGAATATCCTCGAACTTGCCTTGGACGTTGATAAGCTCTTCGAAGTCGGCTTGGTTCCCAGCAAATGAATCTGCAGTGGCGCAAGCGGGGATGAGGTAGGAAGAGCCTGGCAGTGCGCACACAGGACCCATGACGGCGTTTGAAATTGTAGAGCGAAGCATTCCGGATGCCAGCTGAATTCCAAATACCAAAATACCCACACCCAAGACAACGCCCAGAAATGGCTTGATGAAATGTTTCACAGCGTAGGCGAAAATGTCTAAGAAGTGAGTAAAGATTGGAGCACCCACATTTTCCCAAAAGAGATTGACATAGTGCCATGGGCTGACTTCTTCCTGTCTCTGCTTTGGTGGCCGACGATGGGCATCCGATGACCCCTGTGTGGAGGATCTGCGAGGCGTACGGCGTGAATTTGATGAAGTGTTATGTTGTGTATTTCTGGTTCGGTTTCGTGGTTGCGATTTTTGGACAGGCGACCCATCATAACCTGAACTCTCCATGGAAGGCATGATAAGGCTGGGCCCAGAAGAGTCCCGTGTATGCGATCTTTGATCTCTCGGGAAGGGTCTGGGGATGGTTGTGTCGGGTCCTATTCTCTGGAACTGGCTAGCTTTTGTACGGTTTGCTTGCTTCCTGTCTGAAGCATCCTGTGACTGCGCCGTTGGCGTCGAATGACTGAGATGATGGCGCTTGGGCCTGGGGGTAACAATGGAGTCTAAGACAGGCTCTTGCACGACCTCTTTGTCTGAAGCTTCTAGTTCCTGGTCACTAGCAGCGTCGCTCGCTGAAGGGGTGGAGCCGCCTTCGTCAGATGTATAGTCAGCATTGCCCCAACTACTTCCCAGGCTGCGATCTAGGCGCTTGGTGCGCGCGCTCATGGTTTGTGATGGAGAAGTTGACGTCAAGCGGATACCGAGCCAAGGTTAAGACAAGAAGGCAGCGCAAGACGAAATATAAGAAATATGCAAGGAATGTCACAGTGACGATTCAACTTTCACTAGACGTGAATCTACTCTGGTTGCAGGGGGGCTGGGTAGAACAGGTCGCCACTGCTAGAGGCGTGACGTGGTGCGGGGCCAATCAGGTGTTGGGCGCAAGTTGCATGCCTTTGTGTGTGTCGCGGAAATGTCCAGACTTTGACTCTTTTCACTATTAGTACATGATTGAAACAGGAATCATGGCGCATTACCTGTTGTTTTATCACTAGAGTACGTAGTCTATGTATGTGTGTATATATGTATGCATGTATGTATACAGGTGGGGGATGGTGTTGTCTATCCCTTCCAACGCGTCCACGTCATTGTGCTATGTTTTGTTTGGGCTAGTCTGTGCCAAGCCCCGCTAGCCTAGAAAGTGCATCTTGACCTTCACGTCCGCGCACTCGACGGCTCAAGACTTTGCAATGCCACCATTGCGCCAGCTTACATTCGCGCTGCAGGCTGTAAGGCGGACAAAAACAAACACCAGGATATGGAGCCAACATGGGCATCTTTTTGTGAGGAGCTGCTCGTGCTCTACACCGCAGCAATTGCATTACACGGTAACCGTCTCATCCGAAGACCCCGCCACTGCGCGACTTAATGCAACAACCACTACCCCTCCTACCCCTTCTACAGACCACCGGACGCTCGCGCAAACGCACAACCTCTTCATAACTTCACCATATAGTCCTGGCTCGCCGCTCATCCTTCCCAATGGCGCCTATGTCTTTCAGAAGCTGCAGTCCTTCCTACGCACGCAATACCCACAGTTTGGCTTCCAAGAGGTCATCACGCCTATAATATACAAGAAGTCGCTTTGGGAAAAGTCTGGGCATTGGGAAAACTATGCCGAAGACATGTTTAGCGTCCAGGGGAGGGGAACGACTGCTCAGATACCTGAAGCTGACGGTGGAGAGGATGGCGAGTTTGGACTAAAGCCAATGAACTGTCCAGGCCATTGCTTGTTGTTCAGAGACGAGATCAAAAGCTATCGCGATCTGCCAGTCAGACTTGCTGATTTCAGTGCATTGCATCGGAACGAAATCTCAGGCGCATTGACGGGCTTGACGAGGGTCCGGCGGTTCCACCAAGATGACGCGCACATCTTCTGTCGTCCTGATCAGATCCTGGCAGAAATTGAGCAAACGCTCAAGTTTGTAGGCATGGTATACAACACGTTTGGGCTAGGGCCATACAAGTTGCTTCTGTCCACTAGACCAAAGGATAGCTTCATTGGCACTATTGAAGAATGGGACCGTGCAGAGGAACAATTGACAACTGCGCTAAACAACATTGGCAGTGAATGGGTCATCAATGAAGGAGATGGAGCATTCTACGGCCCCAAGATTGATATCGTCCTGAAGGACTCAAACGGCAAAGAGCATCAAACGGCAACCATTCAGCTTGACTTTCAACTACCACAACGCTTCGATCTACAGTATCAGGCATCCCCTGAAGAGGTGGAGACACGGTCACAGAGTTCTATGGATGAGGGTCTTGACACAGCACTTCGCCGTCCTGTGATCATTCACCGTGCTGTTTACGGGTCAATTGAGCGCTTCATGGCCCTGCTCATTGAGCACTATGCGGGAAAATATCCCTTTTGGCTTTCCCCTCGACCGGCTATCGTGCTATCATTGAACTCTAGCCCCGAGGTTCTCGAACATGTCTCGCGCATCCAATCAGTGCTGTCAGGCCTGAAGTCACAAGACCCATCCGAAGCGTCACCATCGTCACCAAAACCTCTACCTCTGTCAACTATTCACCTTCCTGTTGACATTGACATAAGTGATCGCCCCCTTGGCAAGAAGATTGCAGAGGCAAGAAGAAAGAAATACAATCACATTATCGTCGTTGGCGGCCGTGAAGCAGATGATGACAGTATGAATCTGCAAATCGTAAACCAGCCTCACGAGGACACTACAATTGAAGTTTTGGAAAAGCATCTCGAGAGACAGCTCACCGACAAAGAGCGTTCCAAGGGCGCAAATGTTCCCTTAGGCGTCGCTAGAAAATACTTCGAGCAGCTCGCCAACTCATTTCTATAGTTCAATATCTTACAATCATATTGTTCACTACTACCATGCGGAAGCGGTTCATTTATCATACAAGATTTTAGGATACCTTTTAGAGGAAAAAGACTATGATGTGTTTCTCTTCACTCAACCATTTTACCCTAATACACCACTTTCTAATCGATGGAAGTCCTGGTTATCGAGCCCTAATTCAGGGTCAAGACTCCCACTGTGCGATTCAACCAGACGCTCTGCCGCAAGGTACACTGACTTCCGGGTGTGTCGGTTTTGTGGGTCGTGGTACCTTCTTCTCTGAACGTACTTGATACATTCAAAGGGCAAACTCTCGCTATTTTGTATTCAATTTCTCACCATGATATGCATCTTGCAACTGCGGAACGTGATTGACGAAAAAAGAAAGTTACAGACCAACACTCCACAACCGGTGACAAGCCACAACAGGTTGAATATCCGATAGCGACTTCATTTTGTGTCCACAGGCCTTGCAGTGCCCTATCAAACGAGTTAGGGTGAGATGTGGACCGTCTTGTATGTTGGTATTCAAGGAACGTTTAGGTGTGTGTTTTTGGCGGTCGCAGAGGCAAGAGACGGTAACTGCCCAACTGTAGACACATGGCCTTTGGCGTGTATGTTAATAGGATCTAGAGAAGGGACGCTGGAGATCGCACTGTTCGAGGGAGATGCTGGGCTACTCCATCTATCCAGTGTAGGGCGAGAGGGTCTGTGCGATGTGGCCTCCTGTTCGACCGAGCGCATCGTCAAATACTGCGTCACAAGCATACAGATGACCACTAGGACAACATTTAGTACAGAAAGAGAAATAAGGTGCAAGTACTAACCGTCGGTCAAACACAACAACATGCAAGCATGACCTCGTCTTGCAAATTCTTGGCTGGCCATGAGGATGTTGAAGGTAATAGAGCTGATGAGCATGATCAATGCGCCGATGACGTTCCGTACCAACATAACTTGCAAATTGGTCAGACAGGAGCCCCATACCGTTCTTCGTACGCTTCTTATCCACAGTCCGATTCCTTCGGCGTTGGAAGTGTTTGTCCCCTCAGCGCTATTGGCCATGCTTGGTATTCGAGGTATTTGCAAAGCCACAGCTGGGCGAAGTTGCCGTATGAAGATCCCCGTCAGAGCTAGGTTGGTTGTGACATCAAGTACCACGACCAGATAGGCAGTCGGCGGACGAAATCCGATGCTACATTCACGCCTGCCACCTTGGAATACAACTATTCGGTTGGCAAATTGTGAACCCGTTATTGCAATAAAACAGCTCACTATCAAAACCCCTCCAATGACGTATAATGGATCACACCAACGGTTGATGAATGGAGCCCGGACGATGCGAATACGTTCGAGGAGAAAAAGATACCTGAAAGCATAAGAACGTTGTCATCTGGATAGGGTGATGGTAGACTAACAGAGCAATCTTCGTCCCTCCGAACCCAATAACGCAAATTATAAGAGCAGTTTGGCACTCATCATACCCGTGCAAGCCGGACCCTGTGACCACTACTAAAGCAGTAGCAACTAGGAGGACCGTGCAAAAGAAACCTTGTACGAATACTAGAACGTCTGAGACTCTGCTCTTGGACCTTTGACCAGCCATGCGGCCTGCTCGATAACCTGCGCACAGTGAGCAAGGATCAAAACAGCGATTATAGAGGCTCATAACTCGACATGAGCTGTACTTACCTTGGACGAATGCGAGGAGAAAGGCAAACAAGATACATGCTACCACTACGGAAGCACGCACGGCTGAACCCTCATTGCCCTTAGATTTGTCCTTGGCTTCATTGCGAACGGTTAAGGGCAATGCAACTGCTGGATGCGTTGACATTACGAGGACCAGAAATGACAATGGTCGCATGACTGCTGTTCGCATAACTCGGCTGTTATTGCAAGGGAGAGATTAGGAGGCCATTTTTGTTTGCATGAATCCCATATAAGTAAGTGAAGTTTGCCCCTTGGTTGAAAAGCATCGACCCGTGCTCATACATGTGCTCAGATGCAGATGTTGGAATCTTGGTACGTGACAGGCCCTATCCTGGCTGCAACCTGGCGGGCTTCAATGAACCATGAAAACATCCCTGGGTAACTCCGACGTGTTGTCGCCAGCCCCGATTCCGGCGCTATACATGCGATGTGAAGCGGCCAGTGCACTTCCAACCCCTACTGAGCAGACAGCTTGGGACTGCAACGCTGTGATCGTCGACAAGGGTTGTGACCGCTGCTGTGTTCAGTAGAATTTAGTAGTCCCGAACACGAAGGGTTTGGATCGACACATACATAGCCACTGTCAGTAATAAAAGGGTCCAGAGACCACCAGGGTGTTTCGTGGAAGGGAAAGTCGGGCTGGGATCCCCCACTTTTCTGAGGTTGTCAAAGGAAACTTTGGCGACACTTCCACCACCCTTGGGAATACGACTGGGTAATAACCAGCACTGGCACGTCAGAAAGCTTCAATATCGTCATCCCGCCAACATTTCCCCTGAATTCTCCTTCACATCAGAGTTCCTTTAGAGCGACCCTTTGGGGGGTTTTACACACGTTACTCGCCACAATCAAACCACATTTAGTGATCTGCTCGTCGCTGGATATCTACTTATTTTAATACACCTCCTCCAGGCCGACATGGCACTTCGAGACTTTAATTCCATCCCCTATACCACATACACCATGAAGTGAGGCTATTGATAGCTTGCAAGCACCCGGAATGCATGTCATCTTATCTCCACTCGCACGTTTCGACGCTGCATGCTGACGATACTTTTACAGCTGATTCGCTGCTTCCACAGCTATCCTGGGCGGTGTGATGCTTACTTTGACGACGAAACGAGGGTTTACGATTGCCATTTTTCCTACTAAGTCGCCGATTTCCTTTCTCTAAAGCACCGTTCCCCCCCATCATCTTCCACAGTCAGGATATTGTTTGAGGGAAAAAGAAGTCTGAGGAGGATGGAACTAATTCTGCCCTTACTCGAACACTTCACGTATTGGAAAGTGATGATATCGGTGCGAAATGGCCAACTGTATTAGACAACTTGCACATGTGAAGCAGAACGGGCCGGTTGCATGCATCGACTTCTTAACCACATATGAATATGTCTCAAAATACTGGTGTAAAATATCGACGTTGAAAGAAAAAAACGACTCTCGGCATTCTCCGTTCGTGGGCCAAAAAAATCACTCTCTCGCATATTCTTGCCACAAGCCACTCTCCCTTCCGCGTCCTCTCGGGTAGACAAGCCACATATACCCTCAAGCCCATTACCATTAGATCTTCCGCCCGCTCCGCCCGCAGCAAAGAAATGGTAGTAGTATCATCAGACCAGCATATCCCAAGCCATCCGAGCAATCCCGTCCCTGTCCTCCACAAATTCTATCTCTCTCCCCTTGGGCGGTCAAGATGGTTCGCATACATGTTTCTTTACCTTTCTGAATCTGGTGCGGTCCCGCATGCAGCTTATTCGAGCTCTGCCCTCGTGGAGCCGAAAATTTGTCCCATTTGCTCCTGCCAAGGGATGGCCTCCCCATGTTCCCAGATATCTTTCTAGTGGGCTTTCTGGGGTCTTGAATACCAGATTTCTTACTTGCTTGCATGTCACTAGTACGTGCTGACTATGCACTGGCCTGGTCAGCAAGGATGAGGGGTTGGGGGTCGTTGGGGAAGTGGGGCTATGCTATGGATCTTGAATTTTGTACTGCATATGTATGTATAACGACCAATAGTTTTTTGGACACTGGTATATAGGGGGCGGGTAGTTTCGAGTTTGGGTATCTATGATGCTTGCTGCGCATGCAGGCTGTAGTGTGCTATTGTCCGGAGAAATGCATGGGGTTCACTTTCTTTTTCTCCTCTAATTGAAAGTGTCCAGGTGCCTACATTGAATTGAAAAAAAAGAGAGAATAGCTGTAGCCATGCTCCATTGAGTCAACTGACAGCTCCATTATAACTACCTGGCTTTCAAATAATTGGCAGTTGATGGTGATGTTGGTTGTCTTCTTCGTTGATTGCTTCAGCGCCCAAGTTAAGACGGGCCGATATACACCTCCTCTCTCCACCTCACCTTGTAAGCGGAACCGCGGGATCTGACCCTTGCGGGTAATATGCTCATATTCAATCAACGACGTGGTCATCTGAGCTGCGGGACTTCCGGCAGCTGTTGGTGTCGGTCGATTTCCGGATGAGTCTTCCACTAATGCATGGACGGCACCTAATGGTTTGTGTGGCAGTGTTAACAAAGGAATGCCGCGTATACATCGAGTTATAGCGTGAAAGTATCTAATGCATTGCTAACATACAGACACGTAATGAATCAGGCAGTGTGCAATTTTTGGACGCGCGGGAGGTGGGCGGTTGTTTGTCAGATTACCGTGTAAGCACGGATGTGGGGGGGAAAGTAGAGCGTGGTCGCTTCATCCATAGCTAGGCACCAAAGCAGTTCCTAGGTCTATATTTTATGGGATTGGAGAAGTAAAAGTGGATATTGTGCTGTGCATGAGCACTGACAGACCTGTTCTTCGGGTTCCCCGATCTGTAGTTCGGGTGCGAAGATGGAGATCAGATTGTTAGTTGCACAGATTTTGGTAATAGTGAAGTTGAAGTAAGCAATTTTTCGCTCATATAGGAATGCACTTCCTATGTAGGTGTTGTTATGCTAGGTATCCATACCCGTTGTGCTTACTCTATACCCCTTTGGGAATAGATAAGTGAATGTATGTCATTCCATAAACCTTCCACGACTATTTGCCCTTGCACTCACGCTTAGACGAGTAACCTTCGATTGTCTGTTCATCCACCCGCTAGTTTCTCCACTTTATTACCGCAGTGATGATCTTGTGCTTGCCCGTCCAAATGTTTTGTATTGCGACCCACATTCCGCAACTACAGCAGCTCGGGTCGCGAGTGCTTGGCCATATGGACAGGATGCGAGTCATGCTTCCTATCATCCCAACCTACTCGAGATAGTTCTTAGGCTGCTAAGTGAAATAGAAGAAGCAAAGTAAGTCCTTGAGCTACATATGTTAATATGGTTATGCTGTCGCGCAACTGAAGTACATCGTTTTGAGATCCGAAAAAGAAGACGCGTACTGTCCGTGCGCACCCAATGCAACACTTCAGCCAATGCAACACCCCACCAAAATACGAGCTCACTAAAAAATAAAGCTTTTAACTACTACTAAAATACTATTATTATAAGATTTTTTAGTAGAGTACTAGTATAATTATATATTTAATATATATCTACTAATATTTACTTAGTAACTATATACTATAGCTATAGGTAGTAGTTTTAGTAATAAGCTTAGTAGATAGTAATATATTACTACTACTACTTTTAATCTTAATAATATAATACTACTTTAATATTTTTATATTC